GGGGGGGCTGCAGGGATGGAGGGATACTGATGCACCGGCATCTCCCACAGGATTACAGGAACCCGCTGATGGAGATGGAGCCGAAGGTGCTGAGCGCTAGGAAGTGCCAGGTGGTGTTTTTTCGTCTGAAGGAGATCCTGCAGTGCCACTCCATGTTCCAGATCGCCCTCGCCTCCCGCGTGGCCGAGTGGGACTCGGCGGAGAAGATCGGGGACCTCTTCGTGGCCTCGGTAGGAGGAAAAGTCAGGGGACCGCTGCCAAACCTCCCCCTGGCCCCCTCTCAATGATAGCGGGGGGGGGGGGGGGGGGGTTAAAGGGGGATGCAGCCCCAACCTGGGGTACCACCAGCATCCTCAGCATCACTCCAAAAATACACGAGAACCCCCATGCTTTGCCGCCCCCCCTTTTTGGGGGAGCCCCACGCCATCGTGGCTTTCCTCCTGCCCTCTCCCCAGTTCTCCAAGTCGATGGTGCTGGACGTCTACAGCGACTACGTCAACAACTTCACCACTGCCATGTCCCTTATCAAGAAGGCTTGTCTCACCAAACCTGCCTTCCTCGACTTCCTCAAGGTCAGCAGGACCCAAACGTGGGCGCATGGTGTTGCCGGTCACCGTTATGGGTGAAAAGTCCTTTTTTTGCTTTTTTTCCCCCTGTAGAAGAGACAGATGGCGAGCGCCGACCGGGTCACGCTCTACGGGCTGATGGTGAAGCCCATCCAGAGGTTCCCCCAGTTCATCCTGCTCCTGCAGGTACGGGCGAGGGCTACCAGCACCCACCTTGCTTTGCACCCTATTTTTTGCAGCCTGGGTGCTGCGGGAAAGGGTTTAGCAAGGGACACGTTTTTGGGTTGGCAGTTTGATTGCAGCTTTGGGGACTTTCCCCAGGGTCATCTTCCAAGCTTTGGTTTCGGAGGCGCTGAAAAGCGCTTCCAATTGTAGCATCCTCAACGGGACCAATTTTTCTGGGGTGGCTTTTGTCCCCCATCCTTTCCCTCACCCCAGGACATGCTGAAAAACACCCCCAAGGGCCATGCGGACCGCCTGTCCCTCCAGCTGGCCCTCACCGAGCTGGAGACGTTGGCAGAGAAGCTCAACGAGCAGAAGCGCTTGGCCGACCAAGTCGCCGAAATCCAGCAGCTCAGCAAGAGCATCAGTGACCGCAGCAGCCTCAACAAGGTGGGTCCTTCAGCCTCACCTCCTCATCCTCATGATGGGTGGGTTTTGGAGCTGGTGGTTGAGCTTTGTGGCTTCCACCTTCCTCTCCCCGTCGGGGGGGGTTCGGGAAACCAGGATTCGTGTTTTCTCTGAAAGGACGTTGAGCAAAAGCAAATCTCGAGGCTGGCACGGGGAAATTCCCCTCCAGGGAAAAGCAAGGATGAGCTGCTGTCTCATCTGCCTGATTTTGCAATCGGTGGTGGAAAAAAAAACCCCAAACCCCTAAATGAAGCTCTTGCAACACATCCTGGGCTGGGGATGGCCGTGGCGGCAAAAACCGCAGCGGGGCACCTGCCAGCTCAGCCCTGGAATCGGGGTTTCGGGCCAGGGGATGAAAAGAGACCCAAAAGGGGCTGCAAAAGGGCCACGTTGGTCTTTCAGGGCTCTGCTCTCTTGGCGGGTGGGGGGACAGGGTGCAAAGCTTGGCGGTGGACATACAGGGTGCAAAGGGCGCAAAGGGCTTTTGCATCGTGCAGCCTCAGAGCATGTTGCACGGCCGTCTCTCCAGAGCTGGGGGCCGTGCGTGCTGCCGGCTGGAGGAAACCCCTTGCAATAAGGGAAAAGCAACCCAAATTTTGGGGCAGGAGGTTTGCAAGAGCCCTCAAGCTGAGCCCCCACTGCCTGCTCCATCCCCTCCACAGCTGCTGAGCTCGGGGCAGCGGCAGCTCCTGCTCTGCGAGACGCTGACAGAGACGGTGTACGGCGACCGGGGGCAGCTCATCAAGTCGAAGGAACGGAAGGTTTTCCTCCTCAACGACATGCTGGTCTGCGCCAACATCAACTTCAAGTATGTGCTGGCAGCCCCAGACCCCAAAATCACTTTGCAAAGCTTCAACGTAGCGACCTTCCCCACCTCAATTTTTGGGCTGAGTGGGTTTTGCTAGCTCTACCCCAAAGGCTTTTAAAACCACCCCACCTTGTTTCGGAGGGGGAACCTACCTCGTCTGGGGTTGCCTTGCCCCCCACTTTCGGCATGCCTCCACGCAAAGCCTCCATCCCCTGGTGCTGTGAGGTCCTGGAGCCGGTGTGGGGTCCGGGAGCCTGATGTGACCTCAGGGCTTGGTGGAGGTTGATGCTGCAAAGGGAAAAACCCTCCTTGAGCTCCCCGTAATACCTCTTTATTAATCGTTTTTCCCCTCTTCCAGGCCAGTGAACCCAGGGTAGGTGCTGAGCGTGGTCTGCTGTGGTTGCGTGCCCCACGTCTGGGGGTGCAGGCATGCACCGGTGCACGGCGTGGGGTTGCAAATGGGGCTCGGCTTGCAACGTGCATTTTGCAAGGGCTTGCAGGGCAAGCCGCAGCGCCTGCCGATTTATTTACGTGTATTTTTTTTTTTTTTGCGTCCTCCCTCGGCAGAGGCCAGCTGGAAATTAGCAGCCTGGTGCCCCTGGGTCCCAAATACGTGGTGAAGTGGAGCACGGCCCTCCCACAGGTACAGGTGGTGGAGGTGGGGCAGGAGAGCGGCGCCTACGACAAGGACAACGTCGTCATCCACAACGCTGGTGCCAAGAAGCACGTGCCGGCCGGGCAGGCTTCACACAGTGAGCACCCATCCCGTTATCTGGTGTTGGGCTGGTTTCGGTGGGGTGGGGTGGAGCATCCTCCATGGACCTCGTTTCTCCATTTCTCCACCCAAGATAAAGTCTACCTGGGGCCACCGCGGCTCTTCCAGGAGCTGCAGGACCTGCAGAAGGACCTGGCGGTGGTGGAGCAGATCACCCTTCTCATCAGCACCTTGCATGGCACCTACCAGGTACCTACCTACCAAAGCGTGGTCAAACTCATGATTTGGGTAGAACCAAGCTTGGGCGCTTTGCAATAACCACGCGGTTCCTCAGGGACCGCTGGACACCTCATCCTCCACCTTCATCCACCCCATGGATGAAATCTGGGGATGATTCAGGCTTGTTTTGGAGGCACTTCCATGATTTATGACTTTTCCCCCAGAACCTGAACATGACGGTGGCCCAGGACTGGTGCTTGGCCCTGCAGAGGATGATGAAGGTGAAGGAGGAGGAGATCCACTCCGCCAACAAGTGCCGCCTCCGTCTCCTGCTGCCCGGGAAGCCAGACAAGTGAGTTTGCAGATCATGGGTGGGCTCTTCCCACCCTGGGGAGGAGGAGGAGGAGGCTGAAGACCAACCTGGTGATGCTTTCCCTATGCAGGTCTGGCCGCCCCATCAGCGTCATGGTGGTCTTCATCACTCCAAACCCCCTGAGCAAGATCTCCTGGGTGAACCGCCTGCACTTGGCCAAGATAGGACTGCGTGAGTAGCCCCATGGCGTGTCGCTTGCCATCACCCTTGCTTTGAAAAGCCAAGTTTGGGAGCAGAAGTGGGGTTTGCTTTGCCCTGAGCACCCCGACACGAAACGGGGCAGGGGAAGAAATTCGGAGCAAGGTGATGGAGAACACTTTGGGGGTTTGCACGCTGGAAGTGATGGGAATGGGTAATTCTGGCTCAAAATGCTTTGCGTTTTGCTGCTCTCGGGTGGCCTCTCCGGGATGGCGTCGTGTGGTGGTGGCTTTCCATTGGCTCTTGCGCCGATGGTGTTGGGGCTGACCCGTTTTCCATGAAACGGGATGAATAAGCAAGGGAGGAGCCGCCCTTCTTGCCACTTCCCTATCCCTATTCCTATTTAAATCCACCAGCCGCTGCAGCGGAAAAAAAAAAAAGTTGTTTAATGGGAAAAAAAAAAATAATCATCTGAAATCCTATTTGAGTGCTCGGATCCCCGCGGGCTGGAAGGATTTTTGATTCTCTTGTTTTAAACAGTTTATGTGCGTGTTTTTGCATTGTTTTTTTTCTTTTTTCCTTTTTTTTTTTTTAAATCTGGGATGCCTGGGGGATAATCCTGTATCCACGAGTTAGAAATGAAAACACATTAAAGCCTAATGTGGAGAAACACATTAGGGTGGGTTTTTTTTCCCCCTTTATATATATATTATTTGTGGTTTGGGGCTTTTTTTGCCTCTGCTCGTGGTGGTTGCTTGGCTGCGTGCTGCAATGGTTTGGAGGAAAGGGGTGAGATGTGCCCCAGGCCCGCAGATGATGGTGGTTTGGGGTTGGAGACGAGAGCCCTGCACCCCAAATTACTAATTTTGGGGTCCCATCGGGGAAGGGAGGGATGCCGGGGGGTGTCTCGGCTGTCCTCGATCTCCTCTGCTCGCTGCAGGGGAGGAGAACCAGCCGGGCTGGCTCTGTCCCGACGAAGACAAGAAGAGCAAAGCTCCGTTCTGGTGCCCCATACTCTCCTGCCACATGCCCGCCTTCTCCTCCAAGGCCCTCGATCTGCAGGTAAGAGTGATGGCCAACCTCCTCTCCAACCCCCCCAATACCTCCTTCCCCTTTACGTCCCATCTTTTTTGGGGAATAAAGACAGAACTCCCACGGTGGATGGGCTGGATGGGCTGGCCAAGCTTGGTTGCAAAGGCAGAAATTGGTGCAATCCATCCTGGAAAATTGAAAATACAAGCTGGGCTTTGGCTGGATCCTAAATTTTGGGGCACGCACCGATACCCTGCATGTGTTGGGGTAATTTGGGGGTGTTACGGCCCTCCCCCCCCATACCCCGGTCTTTCCTGCAGCTTGGCACCGCGGTGCACAACCCTGTGCAGTCCTCACTGCTGGGCTTCTCCGCCGTCAGCACCTCGCTGCCGCAGGGCTACCTCTGGGTGAGCAAAACACCCCCAAAACGGGGCAAAACCCACCGGGTTTGGGTCACGCTGGCTGCAAACCCCCTCTCCAGTGCTCGTGGCCAGTGCTAACACCCGTTCTCTGGTCCCTGCAGGTTGGGGGGGGCCAGGAAGGCGCAGGGGGGCAGGTGGAGATCTTCTCCCTCAACCGTGCCGTGCCACGGACAGTGAAGTCCTTCCCAGTGGCTTCGCCGGTGCTGTGCATGGAGTACATCCCCGAGGCGGGCGAGGGGGAACTGGCGGGCACCCAGGAGCCCCAACCGACCACCGAACAGCCCCCCACGTCCCTGCATCCCACCGTGTGCTTGGGGTTGCGGGATGGCAGGTGAGCCCGCATCTTCTGCATCCGCCCTTCGGTGCGATCACCAGCACCAAACCTTGAGGACCGGCACGATCTCCCGCATCTTCCCCCCCCCCCTCCCCGTTCCCTCCCCAGCATCGCGGTCTACGGCAGCGTGGACACGGGGACGCAGTGCTTGTTGACCTGCAAAAGCCCGGGCATGCAACCCGTCCTCTGCTTGAAGCACAGCCCCGAGTACCTGTTTGCGGGGTTGCAGGATGGGACCGTGGCCGCCTACCCCAGAAGCAACGGTGAGGGCACCCCCGTGCATGCTTTCGGACAGGCTTTTGGGTGGGACACCCCAAAAAACAGGGAGCAGGAGGCTATTCAAACCAGCGAGAGGTGCTGGCTGCTAAAATGGTGATAAAAGCACCATTTTTCTTCCCCCCCCATTATTTCATCCCCACCCTTGCAGCCCAGAGGGGGGAAAAAGTGCTATTTTGCATTGCCAGGATGAATGCAAGAGGGGCTCGGTTTGGGGGAAAACACGTGGAAAACGGTCCTGGTGAGGGGTTGATGCCGCAGCAAAGGGTTTGCTCGGAGGGTGGTTGCGCTCAGGGGCTGCGGGAGAAGGGTCTGACGCCGGGATGCACCAGGACCCCTTAGAGCTTTTGGCTTCCAAAAAAATCGCCTTTTTGGTGCTATAAACCGAGCTGACCCCCTCCAAACCCCATTCATGCAAGAGCCCCCTCCTTTATTGGCTTGATTTGGGGGTTTATTTTCCCTGGCTCCAGCTGAGGAGCTTGAATTTGGGGTTTATTTTCCCTGGCTCCAGCTGAGGCCAAGGCTGCAGCTTGCTGAGAGCCTTCCTCCCCGGGGGACTCCTCGCCTGGGCTGTTAAATACCTTTGCTTCATCGCTAGAGGGTAGGAAAGAGCCTCGAATAATGCACTGCGTTGGCCTATTTTTGGACAAAACCCCTCATTTGCTCTGAGCTAACCTGCAGCGAGCGGCCCCCAGGCCAGCCCGGAGCCAGTAAAGCCACTTAAATTGCATTTTGGGGTGCTGCGCGTCCCCTTTCCCACCTTATAGCAACCGTGCGAGCCAATTAATGAAGTGGCTTTAATTTAATCTCAGTTACACAAATGCACATCGAAGGCAGCAAGCCGCTGGCAGGGCTGCGGGGTGGGGTTTTTAATCTTATCCCCATCTTTTTGGAAGGAAAAAGCTTTCCCGAAATAGCTCGTTTTTACGTGAAAATTGGGATTTGCTGAAAGGCGGCTCGGTTGCAAACTCCTGTCGATGGGAGCAGAGGTCCGGGCGTCTGCAGGGCTCTTCTATCCCTCGGATCGTGTGGTTTCATTGAGAAAAAAAAAAAAAAATTGCATTGGAAATAAGAAAAGGAGAGCAATTATCTATTGAAGCTGCTGAGCCGCCGCTGGTGGCGAATTCATCCAAATCCAGATTGGATGCTGTTCACAGAGACACTCCAGATCGGCCCCGGATGAATCGGCTCTGGAGTGTCGCTTCAAGAGCAAATAAATTTAAAAAAAAAAAAAAAGAAAAAGGGAATTTTTGGCTTTTGCAGCAAGGAACGTGCCCGAGTGTTGCAGGTGGCCGGTTGTTTGCTGCTAAAAAGCTGTTTGCCCCGGGGGCAAAGGGGCTTTGGGGGGGGTTGAGGCTGGGGCGCGAGCTCCCCCCATCCTTTCGGTTGTAGTGTTAAGATGCTCGGAGGCATCGGAGGTGACACGGGGGACATGAGGGGTTTGCAGCCGACCCCAGCAGCCATTTAGGGTGGTTTAAGCTGCATCAAAAGATGCTTTTTTTTTTGTTTTGTTTTGTTTTGCTGAGCATCTTCTCGCCGCCTCCCCCCCCTCATCCCGGCATCTCTGTTCTAAGGGGGGCTGTGGGACCTGGCAGAGCAGCCCACCCGCCTGGCCGTGGGTACCGGCCCCGTGCGAGCCCTCCTGACGCTGGATGAGACCCTCTGGGCCAGCTGCGCCAACCAGGTCACCGTCCTCGATGCCACCAGCCTCCGCGCCCAGGTAGGGAGCGTCACCGGGACCCCTCTGCCGCATCCACGGGGGGGATGCAGCGGTGGCTTTGGGGGGGGAGGGTGTGG